TGCTGATTTTCACGATTAACTCTTCACCTGAACAGTTTATGTTTGTATATATGGTATCATTGTAATCCTTGACCATCAAAACATAGTGGTAGTGGTATCACCTTATCTGTGTTATCATGTTTGGTTCAGGAGCTATGACACAAAATACATAATTTGGTTATGGCGAAAAGTAAAATGGTCGCCATGGCAACCACAAGGTGTTTTTGCGATGGCTCCATTTCTGAAAAGTTTACCAAGTTTCATACTTTTATGAAAAAGTGAACATTATTTTCACATATCAACTGGACTAATATACATATACAGGTGCATCTAAAAAAAATTTGAATATCATGAAAAAGTTCTTTTTTTTGTAATATTTAAAAAAAGTGAAACTTTCATATATTCTAGATTCATTACATGTAAAGTAAAACATTTCAAAAGTTTTGTTTTAATTTTGATGATTAGAGCTTACAGCTCATGAAAGTCAAAATATTAGAATATTTACATTGGGTTTCATTAAATGACCATCCATACAGTATAAATTTCATGCATCTCTTGTTCTTTGAAACCACAATAATGGGGGGGAAAAAACTTGGCAATGGTCCAGAAGACAATCATTGACACCCTCCACAAAGAGGGTAAGTCACAGAAGGCCATTACTGAAAGGCCTGGCTGTTCACAGAGTGCTGTATGAAAGCATATTAAATGCAAAGTTGACTGGAAGGAAGAAATTGGGTAGGAAAAGGTGCACAAGCAGCAGGGATGACCGCAAGCTTGAGAATGCTGTCAAGCAAAGCCGATTCAAACACTTGGGAGAGCTTCACAAGGAGTGGACTGAAGCTGGAGTCAGTGTATCAAGAGTCACCATGCTCAGACGTCTTCAGGAAAAGGGCTACCAAGCCACTTCTGAAACAGAAACAACGTCAGAAGCATCTTACCTGGGCTAAGGAGAAAAAGAACTGGACTGTTGCTCAGTGGTCCAAAGTCCTCTTTTCAGATGAAAGTAAATTTTGCATTTCATTTGGAAATCAAGGTCTGGAGTCTGGAGGAAGACTAGAGAGGCACAGAAACCAAGCTGTTTGAAGTCCAGTGTGAAGTTTCCGAAGTCAGTGATGATTTGGGGTGCATGCCGTGACGTCTGCTGGTGTTGGTCCATTGTGTTTTCTCAAGTCCAAAGTCAATGTAGCCGTCTACCAGGAGATTTTGGAGCACTTTATGCTTCCATCTGCTGACAAGCTTTATGGAGATGCTGATTTCCTTTTCCAGCAAGACTTTAGCACCTGCCCACTATACCAAAACCACTTCCAAGTGGTTTGCTGACCATGATATTTCTGTGCTTGATTGGCCAGCCAACATACCTGACCTGAACCCCAAATGGAATCTATGGGATATTCCACTTCTGGGAAGGTTCACCACTGTTCCAAGTTTTCTCCATTTGTGGATAATGGCTCTGACCATGGTTCGCTGGAGTCCCAAAGCCTTAGAAATGGCTTTATAACCCTACATGTCAACTATTTTGTTTCTCATCTGTTCTTGAATTTCTTTAGATTGCGGCATGATGTGTTGCTCTTTAAGCATGCTTCACTTTGTCAGACAGGTTCTATTTAAGTGATTTCTTGATTCAACAGGTCTGGCAGTAATCAGGCCTGGGTGTGGCTAGTGAAATTTAACTCCGCTTTCTAAAAGAATGTGGTTAATCACAGTTCTTTCACGATTTAACAGGGGGCAATTAATTTTTCACATAGGGCCGGGTAGGTTTAGAAAGTTTTTTCCCTTAATAAATGAAATCATCATTTAAAAACTGCATTTTGTATTTACTCTGGTTATCTTTGTGTAATATTAAAGGAATAGTTCACCCAAAAATCCACCCGATTTCACCCGAAAATTTAATGTTTATCTGCTTACCCCAGGGCATCCAAGATGTAGGTGACTTTGTTTCTTCAGTAGAACACATTTGATGATTTTTAAGTCAAACCGTTGCAGTCTTATCAGTCGTATAATGGATGGCAATGGTAACAAAATCTATGAGAGTAAAAAAAACATGCACAGACAAATCCAAATTAAACCCTGCGGCTCGTGACGACACATTGATGTCCTAAGACACGAAACTATCTGTTTGTGCCAGAAACCGAACAGTATTTATATAATTTTTTACCTCTAATACACCACTATGTCCAACTGTCTTTGTGCGCGTGCACGGCTTCCGGTGCGTGAGGTGTGTACGCGCTCTGGTGTAGTTTACATTAATGGTGTTTTCGCGGGAGGAGCAAACGACAGACACAGTGGGTGTGGCGTCAGGCCTCGGAGAGGCTTTTATTAACAGAAAATAAACAAAGTGTCCAGAAAAAAGGGAATCAAGTGTCCAAAATAAACAGGGGATCTGGTGTCCTCGTCGTGCTGTGTTATTCGTGAAGGGAAGGGCAGTGGTCAGGAAGGAAGGGTCCAGGTAAGGGGTGGAGTCCGGCAGCGGCTTCTATCAGCGGCTTCGTCCTTCTCTCTGCCCACGGCGCTTGAAGGGACTAGACGGCCCAGCATCCTTGCCCGATGGTCGTGTAATGGGTGTGGTTTTCGTCCGGACTGCGGGTCTGGCAGCTCACGACTCTGGCGGCACGGGAGTCCCTCTACGCACCCCTCCTGGACCCACGAGGACACCAGCGTGCATGCACAGGGAAGAGACCGGTCTCCCGAGGAGAGGCGCGCTCGGCATTTAAGCAGCGGCGGTGATGAGGCTCCATTTGGTTCAGGTGTGCCCCATCGCACGCCACCAGCCCTGGCTATTTCAGCGCCCCTCCTCTCACACGCACCCACTCATGTCGGGAGCCTGGCAAAGGGCGGTGATTAAGGGACGGGGTGATGCTGATAATTAGGGGGAGGCAGCCGACTCGTCACAGTGTGTTGATATCCAGCCGAAGAGCAATCAACCATAACTTCAGGCGAGCAGGCTCAGAAGTTGGGAATACGTGGAAAGTCATAACTCTCGAATGAGTTGGAGCGAGAGAACGTAATCTTTTAGTTTTAAGTCGGTTTGAACAATCCAGATAAGCGCAAGTAAGTACCATTTGATTAGCCGTCATACCTACAATAACTGTGCACTGTGTAAACAATGAATGACGTATACACGTGAGAGATCACTTCCGGCGCTTGCGTAAACTATGCCAGAGCACGTACACACCTCACGCACCGGAAGCCGTGCGCGGGCACAAAGACAGTTAGACATAGTGGTGAATTAGAGGTAAAAAATTATATAAATACTGTTCGGTTTCTGGCACAAACCGGTCGTTTCGTGTCTTAGGACATCAATGTGTTGTCACGAGCCGCAGGGTTTAATTTGGATTTGTCTGTGCATGTTTTTTTTACTCTCATATATTTTGTTACCATTGCCATCCATTATAAGACTGATAGACTGCAACGGTTTGACTTAAAAATCATCAAATGTGTTCTACTGAAGAAACAAAGTCACCTACTGTACATCTTGGATGCTCTGGGGGTAAGCAGATAAACATAACATTTTCATTTTTGGGTGAACTATCCCTTTAAAGTTTTTTTTGATGATCTGAATCTTTTAAGTGTCACAAATATGCCAAAAATGTAAAAACAGGAAGGGGGCAAAACCCTTTTCACGCCACTGTAAGTTGCAAAAAAAATAAAAATTAACTTTTTCACGATATTCTAATTTTTTGAGATGCAAATGTAATAATATTTCACAAAATAATTTATTTTTTAACTGTTTTTGTAATTAAATAAATGAAGGCTTGGTGAGCATAATCAAAAACATAATGGTGCCACCAAAAAACTTCTGAATGGTATAGTGTAAAATATAATAATACACAGTATCCTTAAAATTTGAGAGCTTTTTTTCAGCAAATTTTGATATATGTAATTCACTGTGATTACTTTGATCAAATGAATTTGCATATCATGTCATTTATTTGATAAAAAAACTATAACTGATTCAAAATTTCCCTACATGTATTGTTAAAGGAGACATATTATGCCCCTTTTTACAATATGTAATATAAGTCTCTGGTGTCCCCAGAATGTGTCTGTGAAGTTTCAGCTCAAAATACCCCACAGATCATTTATTATATCATTTTGAAAATGCCTATTTTGAGTGGAAGCAGAAACACACTGTTTTCGTGCCTGTCTCTTTAAATGCAAACTGTCTCTCCCCGCCCCCTTTTCCAGAATAGAGCTACACCATTACAGCTCGGACCTGCTAAAAACATGTGTTTTGGTTCTAATTATCATGTTTATCGCTCTGAAATCATGCGTTTTAAACCATATTGAAGAGTTCAAATGTCTGATATACGTTTTCTGAGAGCACACATCCGAAGCACACGTATAGAAAGCAGCTGTCACAGCATGTGAGTACTAAACTAAGTTCTTTCACACACAAGTTTACATTAAAAAACACACAAGATACTAAAACAGTCAGTTATGTCTGTGAAGGTAAACAGCTGGGAAATAAATCGCTTGTTTATTTTAGATCTGTGTGGCAGCAGCAATATACAGTAAATAAATCAATAAATCCACTGCTCTGTTGTCTCCTCTGAGGCTGGGACTCTAAACAGTGGTCTGTGCTTGTATATGCAGCCAAAGACAGAACAGTTAGCATGTTTTGCTCAAACTTTCGCCATGGCATTAGAACTGGTACACCATTTTGGCTTGCGAAATAAAAATGACGGCGCCATGGGTGGAAACTTACAGATTAAGGGGTGGTAATATTATAATGAGATCCCTTTGCCACATCACCAAGGGAGCGAAATCAGACGCGCTCGTTTTCTCAGACGCTTGCATAAAAAGGCTTACTAAAACATGGAAAAACATGCTGATTATAGCACTTAAAACATGGAAAAGTCAGATTTTCAAAGATATGTCACCTTTGAAAATATAAAGTTCTTAATGAGAAGTCTGTTAACTATTTTATATAACCTATTCCAACATAAAAAAGAGCTATAACATATTATAAATAAAACCCCATTTGATGTGTTGTGTTTTCTTGTGTTGTGCTGTATTTTCAGAGCGGGCATGTGGAGAGGCTGTATTCCCTCAGCAAGAACCAGGTGGAGGCTGAAGTCATCGTACATTCACAGCTGTCAAACACGACGGTTGACCAGGGTCCACAAAGTGACATGGAGCTCTCTCTCGAGTCTCCAACTTCCAAGCACCCTTCTCCTGGAGAGAAGGCAACTCCAACAAACCCGCATCCACCTTATGCCCACAGCGAGGACAACCACGAGACTCAATCTCCATCTCAGACTCCCAGCACTCACATCTCAGAAGTACTGTCCAATCACAATGGACCATTTGAGAGTGGTCACAGCCAGCCGATAATGGGCGGTGCCAAAAACCAAGGAGTGGGGCTTGCCAATGGCTTCCACTTGTCCAAACCCCTTCGTTCAAAGGCAGAGACCCTGGAAAACGGGGCCCACAGACTTTGCCCCACAGGAAAGGTTCTGCCCTCACCAGGTCTCTCCGCTTCCCCCTCATCCTTCGCCAGCTCTGGCCTTGTCTACTCTACCTCAGGGGAGCATAACTACGTGTACCCCTAAGCTGGAAGGAAGAAAAGCTTAACAAACGGTGTTCCCAAAGTTCCGGGACAGAGAAAGACAACAGAGGAGACCAACGAGTGGCACCTTCCTGCTGGAGAAGTTGATCATTTCTCGTAGCCACACACGCCTCTTCTCTCGGCTGTTTTATTGCAACCTTTTGGTTCCATTATTTTATATGTATGTACATATAGAATATTTTTTTAGCACTAGTATCCATGGATATGCATTTTAGGGCATATCAGTGTCACACTTTAACCCCTCTTTGTGTGCATGTATGGAATGTGCTGAAGTAGTTTATATGTTTACATGCACACGTGAAGTCAAGAGTGTTCTTACTTAGAGGTGAAGTTGAAGGATCCTGAAATCAGCCCTACAGAAGGAAACGGAACTCATTCACGAGACGAACTTCATGGATCGGTCTGAGATCAGTGCCAACGGGTGGACATCTTGTCAGAGAAAATAACCCTGCCACAAAGTACCACCTCCTGCTGTCTCAGGGTCGCCACACATAAACACACAAACACACACACAGATCTGTGCTTAAAACGGTTGTTGCAGAAAATTAGCACGATATTTCAGTTCCATCTATTCCGGTTTTTAAAGGGGTTGTTCACCCATAAATGAAAATTTTGTCATTTACTGTCCCGCACGTTGCTTCAAACCTGTGCATGGACAAAAATATTTGTTTTCTGCAGAAGAAAGAAAATCATACAGGTGTGGAAGAACTTGAGGGCGAGTAAATGACGGAACTGTCTCTTTAAAGGGGTCCTATTATACTTTTTCACTTTTTCAACTTTAGTTAGTCTGTAATGTTGCTGTTTGAGCATAAAAAAGATCTGCAAAGTTACAAAGCTCAAAGTCCAATTCAAAAGGAGATATTTTATTTAACAGAAATCACTTTTCAAAAACTACAACGAATGACTCGTTTGGTCTACAATGCATATTTTCCGGGATTTGTGATATCACAAATATCGACGAATGGGACGAGGCCTGGTTGAGCTGCACTAGAGAAGGCAACAAGTGTTATCACTATGTCGGAGACACGCTAGCTTTCCCAAGCCAGACGAACTTAGAGTGGTTACAATAATCCGGGTTTAAATCACGCTTTTATTTAATATTGATTTTGGTGCAATATTTAAACTGAAACTTGCAGGCGGCTATGGACATTTCCCGACCAGGCGCCGAGTGGAGCCAATCACAACACACACTGGCCCAGCTAACCAATCACAGCACATTTCGTATTTCAGAAAGCGGGCCTTCATTTGATACAGGAACTATTTGAGCCGTTCGTGCCAGACTGGGGAGAGAGGGGTTGTAATAATGTAAAATATGTGAAAAAAAATTCAAACAACCTAGTATGAGAGCCTGTTCTAGTGCACCCCCAAAACAAAATCAAGACTTTGTAAAAGAGCATAATAGGACCCCTTTAACTCACACTTTCGCATACTTACACGGGCAAACAAACTCGAATACAATACAAATAAATAAAAACACACATTCCCTGACTGGAGCGTAGTGTCTCAGGAGTCTCAAATTCAAGGTGCATTTGTACATACACAACTGCTGTATCAAATACATGTAGAAAAACATGACAAAAATGCAGAAAAAAAATTATGAAGGAAAACAATACAAAAGGAACACTAAGAATCCATGTACATTTTCTATCATTTCAACTCTGAGTGTACTTGTAAAGACACATCACACTGATTCATGCTCCATGTTTTTCTCAGTCAACAGCACTACCTCATTTCTTTACAGGATTGTTTTTTTTTCTGTGTGATTTTATGAGTATAGTTAAGAAGGCAACTTCTTATTGGCGGATTTTGGGCCGTCTGATTCATAGCCTTTGGATAATAGCAGAATCTACTGCCCTTCTCACTCTGTCTGTATTTTCTTGTGTAATGGTTACTGAAACTTTGTGTAAGCGGAATGTGCTCATGAAAGCCTGTGTGCAAGCATGTGGTCATCTGCTTGTGTAGTCCTTTGCTATGGAAAACAAAACTTGATCATCACAACAGTTCTGCAATATACCCTTCAGATGAAGGGATATAAACACAATGGAAGGCTAACCACACGGTTTAACCCAAGACCTCAAGATCTGTGTCCATAAGATCTACCTGTTGACATGCCAGTCATCTCTTTTTCTCAGGAACTTCTATGCAGGGAGTCTGAGAAGAACATTTTCAGCCAAACTAGGAAATAGCCTCCATCTCTCAGACAGGTCTTGTCCCATACCATATTCCTTGTCCTTAGGCCACGCGTATGTCACCATTTAGAGTTCATCTGGAACTGTAAATAAATGTTGTCCTCCATGCAAAAACATGTTGTATTGCTACTGAGAGTAGGATCTGTATCTGTTGCGCTTCCTTTTTATGCATTTTAAACACTTATTTAAAGTCGTTTCTGTTATGTTAACGCTGTTATTTTTGGAAGAGAAGCATCAACAAACTCTCAAAATCCTGCCGTCGTACGTCAGGTCATTGACAGGACTGCCCATGATGCCAACAACAGCTCTCAGTCTAGTCGGTCTCAGTCATTGTCACAGTTCAGCTGATTGTCAATAACTTCACTGAATAGTGCTTTGGTGCTTGAGCAAGACTAGGCTACTTTTAAGATGGTCTTTTAAACATTCCAGTTTTTGTATGTACAGCAAGCCAAACTCAGGGCTGATCATGTAGGAAATGAAGATGATGAATGTCTGAATTACTCTGGCTGCTTTTTTAACAACATACAGTAAGCAACTCACATGTCGTCATTTGTCACACTTCTAAATGTGCAGTGGCCAGTCCACAGCAACAACAAAAACAAGACTCAATGCTTTTACTGAGATAACATATTTGTTCAATATGCTTCATGTCAGTTCTCTGTTTAATGGATAGTTCACCCAAAAATGAAAATTCTGTCATTATTCACTTATCCTCATATCGTTCCAAAACTGTATGACTTACTACTTCTGCAAAAAAGAAGATATTCTGAAGAATGTTTCCAAAACAACATTGAAACCCATTGACTTTCATTATATGGACAAAAAACTCAAATATCTTTTGTTTTCTAAATGGTAGCAGACTTTTCATTTTTGGGTAAAGGATCAATTTAAACTGCAAAAATTGGTTGTTTCGTTGCCACAAAAGTCATTTTTGTTCTGTTCTGATATGTTTGTTGTCAAACGTGCAGTCTTAGCTTTGCTCCAGAGTCTTATACATCAGATTACAGCGTTTAGCACATCCCACCTTCAGCATTAGGAATGTGTGGGGCAAATAAACCTCTTGTTATGTCTAAAAATAAGGAAATTGTGGTTTTGCCAGGGTCAGCAGATGTCTTGTCACTCTCAGATATGCATTTTATTGTTCAGAAACAGCCCTTCAGGATAAGTTCTAATTCAGATACCTCAGTTGCTGCTTGTTAATTTAATTGCAGTTAAACATGGCACATATGTGTAAAGGATTCAGTAGTTTTGATCATCGTGTTTGGCAGCAGTTTGGATGAGTTGATTGTCTCATTTTACCTCATTCTGAAGCTTCAGGCTGGATTTTGCTTCACTATATTAAGCATGGAACGGTTGTCATTTTTGTGGATAAATCGTTTTGCAGAGAGGAGAATAGCAAAATGCATGAAATGAGAGTTCAGATGATCAGAGGGTTCCCCTGTCAAGCCATACCTCTCAAAACAGACACATGTTGCATATGGGCCATTTTTATACGGTGTGTATAATCAGTGCTTATTGCTCAGGTGCCCTGTCTTTGCATAAAAACTCCGGAGGAATGCAACTGTTTACTCTGATGTAAAGCAAGTGTGCATGAAAACCTCACCAGTCCTCCTGGAAAATGACGGCTTTAATGACAGGGGAAAAGCAACAACAAATAGTAACACTGATGCACAGGCATTTTTGTAAAGAAATCATGTATTCATGTATTCTAACGGCTTCTGGTGCTTCGTGGTGACCTTTCTATTCTGGTGATGTGAGAATTCATCCCCCCAAACCAGCAGACCTGTGCTTTTCTGAGATTCTCAGCACACATACTTGTGTAACACCAGCAGCAGTATGGTCTCTGACGTCTGTCGGTTAAATGTGAGAGACACAACATCAGTCTCAGCACACACAAAACTACACTAACCCAGTATGATTACAGCATGTGTCCGTTTGTTATGTTTGTATGCTCTCATGCCTTCTTTGTAAAATCAAATCTAAATTTGGTTTTAAGACACAGGTGAAGAGGTTGAAGGAGCTTTCATTGACCATTCAGTTTCTATTTCTGAGATAGGATAATATTGTTTGACCTCCCATGTAGAAATGTTATACTGTACAGCGCTATGATCTGTAGGTCTTATTTTCCGCGCTGTGGCATCAGTTTTTCATAGTCAGAATATATATACGAAAGTGTCAATTTATTCACTTAGATTGGATCTAATCTTTTTAACTGGAACAAATGTGCCCTATGAATAATTGATGCAGTGAAATTAAATCTGATGACTGATCAAATGTTGGTACTCAATTTTATCATATACGTGAGCTGTGAAGGGTAGAGTTTGATGAAGGATGGATGCAGTGGAGGACAATATGATATTATAATGTTTATGTTCTTCCTCTGTCTCTGTCTCTGTGAGATTTGCAGCAGCAAAGTCTCTGCAAACTTGTACTATGTAAATAAACTTAATAATAATAAAAAAATAATTTGTCTCATTCTTTTATATACCACTGCTTTAAAGACATACTGCATGTTTTTCAGTTATGAATTATGCATCTTCACAAGGATAGACCCTATGAAATAGTATTTATTTTTAAAATCACCAAAGTCACTTTTACAAGAAAATGTATCTAAATGTCAGTAAAGGTAATAGGTTGTTGAGATTTGTAATTAATAAGGTTTATCATCACAGTTTTGTACATTTATTTGGATGAGGCTTGGTGAGTCTAATGACTAATATGACTAATAATATTAAGAATAATATTACATAATATTTGGTGTCAATGAAGGGGTGCTTGAGCCTTACTGATGGGGCTGAGGGGCTATATTTGAAAAGATTGGGCAATCCTTGTTTACATCAAGCAACAATGTTCATTGTATGCTGAACAGTCAATAGATGGCACTCTTTCATTACTGTTGCCCTATGCCTGAAATGTCAAGTTTTAAATACAACTAAATATTATATCCAACAAAATACAGTTTCTAAATTATATTTTTAAACATCAGGAAGGATAATTATTTCCTTAATCTTTCTTTAAAAATAAATTATTTAGTAAACGTTTATGTATTTTTTTTTTCAAAAATGTACAAAAGTGTAATTAAACATTCCACTAACTTCAGTTGTTATTATTATTAATCATCATTTTCAGCTGTGGCCTTTATATTATAAAATATAGGTATTTATATAAGATCATTTTTATGCCCTGCACACATACAGGCTACCTTCTTCTTTCTCTGTGTTTGGAGACCGTGTCTTTTGTTCTAGTAAAGAGAGAGAGAGAGAGAGAGAGAGAGAGAGAGAGCTCAGAAAGGTGGATGGATGAGCGCGTGTGCTGGTCGCGAGGAGGAGAGAGCACGAGATGCTGCTGCTGCTGCTGACACATTCCTTAAAAGATGTGTAAAATGGCGCAAGTATGTTGGAGGCACCGGCTGTAGATTGGATCGAGAGGAACTGATTTACTGCTTTCCCATCCTTGTCTTCGCTCTTGCTTCACCTTCTTCTTTTGCATCCCGTCTAATTTTCAATGTGATTAAATGGCTTCCGGACGGCGCCGCCAGGCTCCACGCTCACTCGGAATACTCCTGCTCGCCATTGTCGGTAAGTGTGTGAATTCTCTCCGGGAGCCTCGCGGTATTGGGTCACTTGGTCTGCGCGATTGACCGTGAACTTGAACACACTGCAGTCTGCTTCAGACGCGTTTCTTCAGCGGTTGTGTTTACAGCTGTATATGCGACTAGGGTGGGTGTGTTTGCATACATGTAGCGGTTACATACTGAAGCATGAACTGATTTTGGAATGGAGAGTTCCACGCGCTTGCTGACCTTATATTAGGGTTTCATGCTGTTTTCAGACACTGAAAAAATGTTTTTATGTTAACATGTGAAGTTCACTTATGATGAGACCTTGTTACCACGTGCTTTGCATTTTGCATTTGTGGAATATGGAAATACAGTTCTAATCGTATTTCTTATGTGGTAGAAGTAGATTGAGCGTTATTTCTGATATGAATTAATCATGGGTAATCTATAGAGTCAGTCAAGACATGACAATGCCTTTTATCTTTGAGAAGTGCTACGTGTGGGCTATACTTTGAGTCATTTAATAGTAGCCTACTAGTTATAGTGTGTGTGTGTTTTATCAGAACAGCAATTTCTTGTTTTCATCAGTTTTCAATGTCAAATTACTTACTGCATGCAATACTGGCAAAGCATCAATATGCAGACACACACAAAGTGACAGAAAATAAAAATAATCAAGTACAAATAAGGTGCTAGTACTAATAAAAAAACTGCAATATAAAATAAAACTGAATAGAATAAATAACTTCCTGCTAGATCTTAATGAAGGTTAAGATGATGTACAGACAAGTAATGAACAAGTAAGTATAAAGATTAAAGCAAAACCCGTGAGCTGTGCGGTTTCATATTCTCTGATTTATGATTAACTGTAGCCTTGAATAGCTATATTTAAGATTTCTGGTATTTGACATACAGACATCTCTAGCACTCTAGGCATGTCTGTATTCTATTCTATTCATGACATTTCATGACATTCAGGTTTCCACAACATATTGTTCATTTTTAGTAAAGGGAAGATACTGAATATTTATATCGTAAGTGCAGAAATATTTCCTAAACTATAGGAGCTCCTCTTCTCTCAGCCCACAGGTGAGTAGTTTATTTCTATCTCATAGACAGCAGAGGCTCTGATTGATTGTTTCCTTTTACTGTGTTTCTATTTTAGTGGGAAAGTGAGGAAAGAACTGAAGGCTGCTGTTGTCTTGAAGATTGTGTGTCAAGACTATCTTTCTCTTCTCCTTTAAACTTGCTTGGTTTCTTTGTTCCCCTGTAATTGTCAGTTTGTGTATGCGAGCGTGTGGCCTGTTTGCTTGGGCCGGAGGGCAGTGTGGATGCATGCTTATGGAGCATGACATCTAGGGAATCACAATCTTGCTTAGTATTCACAAAGCTAATTTCACAGCCACCTAGTTCGTTCATCTTACTGTATGCAAAATGCCGTACATGCTGAGGTCTTGTGTTAAAATTATTGGTTTATGCTGGAGTTTTCCTTCAGGTTTTCATCGTAGGGTGCCTTTGCGGAGCTGCCAATCAGCAAAGCACTTGGTGAGAGGAGGAAAGATTGGGTTAGAATTGCAAGGATTGGGTTATTAAATTACTGAATGTCTTTTGTCATCTCCCCAGGTGGGTTTGGAATACATGTTTTTTTTTTCTTTTCTGTTTTGAGTAGGCCAGTATAAAGCAGCATGTGTGAATCCAATGCATTTTGTCCATGCATGTCATTGTAAAGAAACAGCTATGTATTATAAATGTGTTCACTCGTTGCTCTTTGCCGTAATAATGCACAGTGAGCAGAGAGCATCCTCAGACCTGTTGATGTATACCACTGTTGTCCTTAAAGCCTAATGTAATTCAGTCACGGATGTTCTAAGAACAGAAGCCATTCATTGAAAAGAATAGAAATTGACAATATAATTACTACATTAGTATCTCTAAAAGAGATGTTGTAAATGTCAGAGGACTAATGTGTGGGGTATATGCTCAGCAAGGCTGCATTTATTTGATCAAAAAACAAAATAAATAAGAATAAATTATGTAGGTCTATTCCTTTCAAGTCACAATGTAACTTTATACTGTATCTGTCAGTTGCGACTTGATAGCTCAGTGATTTATTTCTCGTAACTGAGCCTATATTTACAGCATGGCTTTATATCACAATTACTTTTTAAATGTTTCACTGTGAGGTGTAAACACACTTCCATAGTAAGCAATGGTTTAAGCATAAATATTTCACTTGAGTGACTCTCCAGGTTGTGAGAAAAGTCCAGAAATGAAAATGCTTTCTCAGAAAATATTCAAAGGAAGGTGAAGGCAACACCATTGCAGCCACAGGCTGAGTGCATATGAAGTTCAAACTGAAGGCTTCAATGAATGTATAATTTATAGTTTTTGCTTGTGATATATGCCTGAATATATAAAGCAAAACATAAAGTATAGAAATAAACGTCCTCCACTTAGGTTTTTAATACTCTTATTGTGCACTGATTGAGTGATAAGAATTTCAATTGAAAAATTCCTTGCATATCAAGCAGATGATCCAGTATTAAAGCTGTGACTGTAAAAACAACCCACTCCAGTTTCAGAGCGATGATGATGATAGGTTTTAAGGTCACCCTACAAAGACTGACTCCCCCCCCCCCCCCCAGTTCTTTCTGTAAATCTTGACAAAAGAAAGGGGCTGAAAGCAGCCGTCACTCTGACAGCATGTTTCAGTGCTTTGTCACAGGAAGTCAAAACAAGACCTGCAGTGTGCAAAAAGCAGTCACACCAAAACCCTGGGAAGAGATGCAGAAATTAGGAAAAGGGTTTGGTATTTGAATTGAGCAGGTGAGGCTATACAGATGCCCTGTTTACTAGCGGAAAGCTCCGTAAAGAGATGGAGAGACGGAGGGAGCTGATAAGGAGGCGGCACCGGGGCCCCTGGACATTGTTTAATTCACAGCTACAGTATAGGTCATGCCAAACCAATGATATTTAGAGTGAGAGGCGAATGACTATTGAGAGTGGAATTATCCTTTGCTAATGAAACTGGGCTGTTCATGGTCTGTGCACGCTTTAATTCATTGCGTGTCTGGTGTGATATTTCACCGATCCAAGGTCAGAGTGGACTTAAGATTTGGCATTTAGCGTTTAGTTATAATCACATTTATATGATCCAGAGCAGGATGCTGAAATATATAAGACTTGATTGCCTCATTCACAGGAATAAGACCCATTCAATATTTGCTCTTCCTGGTCTTGGTTTAGAAGTCTAAAATTGAGAAGTACAAAAATACCATTTACGAAGTTTTTGTAAAAGTGTCTAAATAATTACATTTCTGAATTCTATAAGTTTGGGAGAAATATCCAGATTGTAGTTATTTTAAAGCTTGTTTTCTTTTGCTTTTCAATCATTTTAAGTTATCCAGTGGCTCCCTTTGGTGGGGTTTGTTGAGGCCCCCTAGTAGGTCCCGGAACCCTGGTTGGGAACCACTGGTTTAGATGAACAATATACAGTAGATACCATACCATCACTTAGTGATGCTTCTCCTTAAAAGAAATAGTTCTGATGTCATCTTTCCTCATTCTCATGTTGTTTGAATATTATTTGTTTTTATGTAATACAAAAGTTATTTTGCAAAATATGAACACTGCCTTTTGCCTTTAAAGGATAATTAATTCACCCTAAAATTAAAATTCTGTCATCATCTACTAAGTCTCATGTGGTTCCAAAACCATAAGATCTTTAATTAAAACCCATTCAAGGTTTCTATCCCTCCAGTGAAAGTCCTGGTAACCAAAATAAGATCCAAAAAGGTCATAAAAACCTTGTGTTTATCATTGTTTAGGTGTTACTAAAAGCCTAAATTAAATCTGTTTATTATATAATGCGGTCAAAACTCTATAAAAGGCTTGGATTAAACTGCTCAATTCATATTAATTAATTTTACAACAACCTTGTGACCTTTTTGGATTTTCTAAGCCTTATAGGTTTTAAATTAATTGAGGGTGACGCAGTGATGACAGAATTTTATTTGAGAATTTAATTTGATCCTTTTACCTTAAGGGGGGGGATGTTAAAATATATCATATATGCTACATTCTGTGGTTTTTAAAACCATATACCATATCATTCAAACATAGCACACTGACACAAGCAAGAAATTAAGTTTCTCCTTCTCCAAATGTTGCTCATCCGTTTGTATGCAAATTTACTTGGAATAGGTGGAAATAAAAAAAAAACTAGGAATGCACGATATATCGGCCACCATATCGGTATCGGCCGATAAATGCTCATTTTTTCTGTTATCGGTATCGGCCTGATAAGAAAATTTGGCCGATATCTTAAAGCCGATAAATAATGCATTATTTCCTTCAGAGACACTTCAGATGCGGTTAAATAAGCTGCCAGCAAAACGCTTCAGTTTACCGTGTTCATTCAGCTCTTCAGCTTCAGCTTGAGCTGCAGCTCAATGGCTGCTATTTAAAACAGTGGTATTAATTTGTTACTTTTTCAAAATCATTGATATATTATTAATAACAACAACCACTTGTATTTTTCTCTTATTATTTTCATCAACAATATGGTTTAGTAATTAAAATCATTTAATTATTGTCTGTGCAGAGGCTATTCCGTTTTATTGATCTGTGGCGCATTCATTTTGATTCTTTACATGTGTAATGATGTCCAGTGACTTGTTTGCATTATTTATGCATAATTTTATTTATTTGTAAGGCTTTTTTATGACTAAATTTGGTAATGGGAGAGTAAAAATATTTTTAAAACGTACACCGTTCAAACTAGGCTGCTTATGTTGAAGTGTTTGGGATGTGGCTTTTAATGATGAGACCTTTTTTGTAATCAGGCTCTCAAAAAGTATATAACAATTTGGATATAGATTTATCGGCCAACATATCGGTTATCGGCTTTCAAAAATAAAGAATAATCGGTTATCGTATCGGCCAAAATTTTCATATCGGTGCATCCCTAAAAAAAACGGATTCAATTATGATCTATTCAAGCTATCACATGACTTGAGAAG